CATAGAGGGATACATAAATGGAAAAAAATTACCATTACTTTCACCAAACGGCTACATTTTCAAATTTTTTTACTCATATTTACAAAAATAAAAGGGGGGATTTTTACGCGCTCACTGTATAATTCCTATCAAACTCTGAACAGAAGACTATTATGTATTGGACAAATTTCCCTGTTATCTTTGTATCGATTCAGGGTACCCGGTGAAATAAAATAATAGTAGGAGTGGTCGAAAAGCGCAAAGTAATGTTCATCTTAATGAGATTGTCGAAACACTGCATGTGGTTCACACCTCGGGCCCTTCTTTTTTCCTCGTTGCCTCGAGATAATAAAACACACAGTCATATCCGTGAAAATATGGTCTCTGTTTAACTTTGTTACACCTCTTCGTTTTTAATCTTGTGTTGCCTAATTGATGTGGTAAATGTAAAAATATTCGACTTGATTTAAGGACCACTTTTAATGAATAGATGTGGTTGTAATTCTTCTTTTTAGAACCTAGTAAAGAACAATTAATTAAAAGTTATACTCGTCCTGGTAACTAATTAATGGCTTGATAAAACATCGTTTACCCGAAATCTCGTACAGGCTTGTTAATTATTATATATTGGCTGTTGATTAAGGCAGCAAGCGATTAATTCACCTTTTTCCATCCAGCAAGGTATACGAAGAGAAGAGCAATATAAAAAGAAGAGGAAGATAGAAGAGGGGTATAGATGGACTATAAAGCAGATTCAGCACTCGATAAGGTTCAACATGTGTGAGTTTCGATAGAAACGAGCCCAGTACGAGATGCACTATCGTTAATTAAATAACGAGTCCTGTAACGAGTCCGAGATTCGTTGGTAGTAGGAATAAAAAACGAGCACCAAGCGAGCAAGTAGACACACACAGGTCCTAACAATGTAAAAATAAAAGAGGATTAAATGGTACCAAGAAATGCGTTCGTGTATATACGAATGTTCGACTAAATGTATTCGTGGTTCGTTTCCTCGATAAAAAAAATACAACAAATACGACTAAAAGACGAATTAATTGCACTGCACGGAAAAAAATACATTTCTAAATCCAAATATAGTTCTATACTTATAATTTTATATTTGATCCATTAATAATTTACTTAGAAAAACAATACGTTATTATTCATTCAAGTATTTGCTTAATGTTAATTTCCAACTCTTTCAATATTCAATTTAAGTATTTTTTATTTAAACAAAGAATAAAAAATATATTTTATTAAATAAAGGATTGTTCTTAAATTAAGTGAAAATGTTTTCTCTTTTGAAATCCATATAATTCTTCAATTAAGAACTTAAAAAATACTTCAATTAAATATATTAACTATTGCAATAACACTAAATTATACTTGTATAATTATTATTACTTTGAGACAAGTACCATTTTATTGAACAAAGAGTAATTCATCTTTGCCAAAATAACATTATATTTGAAGAGAGTATACTTATTCTTAAATAAAGTGTAAACGTATTGCGACGCAGTAGGCGACAGGCGCAGTAACTGCGTAGTACATAAAGGGAAGGGAGAAGAAACCATTTTGCTAGGTACGCGTACGTGACCACAACAATAACAGAGACAATAGTGTGTTTTTGGGACTTTTGTGATCCTTTTTCTATGTTTTGTGTGCTAAAGACATGGATGTTTTATTAAAGGAGTGGAATTTCGAATCATTAATTCCAATATTTGAAGGTAAGTTTAATTTCTCATACTTAATTATAATAATACGGGCAACGGGAATAAACATGGAAAAATACCGAGAAAAATTCAAAAAATTATTAAGCCCTATTTGTATGGGTAGCTATTTGGGTATTTTGAGTAAAAACAAACCGTTATTTAATATAATAGGTTTGTTCTAACATAATTCTTCTTCTTAACTTTTTATTCTCTCTTTCGAGAGAATTGGACTTGAGCCGATTAGGCTCTTACTGCCCAGTTACTAGTTTTAACGTCCGATGATTTCCGAAGAACCAAAAACCATTGGACAACGATTGATTGTTGTTTATTTGGCCCATGTATTGACTTTATCTTCTTCTTCTTGTAAGTCGGTTAGGTTATGTAACGACACAAACATACAATAGGAAAATAGGATTGCTTAAACATCAATATATCAAACATTATATTATATTATTATATTGGACGATTTTATAAAAGCATAAAGGCATCTAAAAGTGTCAGTTTGTGAGCATGCAATGATTGATTTAAAACTACTTGGCATTTGGTGGCCTATGTGGATCAATTTATCGATTAATACTTTAGTATTATTGACATTTTTACTACATGAATATAATATGTGATTTAGATCGCCGAACTTCCCACATTTAGGAGTAAATTGTTTGAACATATAGCGAGATCTATTATACTTCTTCTACTTAAATTCAACATTGTGGATTTATTGTCGTTAATTATTGTTGCCTCTTTATTGTCTAAAACCTTCCTCAAGATATTTCCGTTCGTGTTTCGCTTATAACTACCCCAGGAGGTATGATGATAGTTAAAGTCACCCACCAAGACAAAAGTGTCACCCAAACTATCGAAAATATTGTTCCATAATCCCTCATTGGATATGTAGTCTGGCGCTATATATGTGTAACCAATCCTTATATCATTAATCTGAATAATAATTAGTTGGATTAGATCATGGAGGGGGAAATTTAAAGTAATTTGTTTAAAAGATAAATCTTTTTTTTTTTTTATAAGGAGAGCTGAGCCTCCCTTACCATCATTTCTTTTTAATGTTACTGTATTGTATCTTTTAAGATTTATTTTTTGGTGAGATTTTAGCCAAATTTCTTAAAGAGATATTACATCAGGGTTGTATTCGTTAATTAGTAACATTAGATTAGTTTTATTGTTTGGGTAACTACACAGAAAAAACAGTTCATTTAATTGAAATAAAAATGGAGTTAAACTAAATAAATATTGCTTTCGTATACGCGAAACAACCGTTTGTTTGATATTTTATACAAATTTATTTGGACCTCTAAAATAAAATATATTTCTTTTAAACATTTCTTTGTTTGCTGTTAATAAAAAGATGTTGTTAAATAGTTTTTATTATTTTGGTATAAATACCTATTTATTGTCGATAAATAAATATTTAGTTCATTTAAATAAATGCATATTTGTAAATCGAATGTATTATTTTGTAATAAATACATTTTTATTAAAAATGAATAACTACTTAGTTCTTTAAAACATATGCATTAATTGCTCTAAATAAAATGTATTTAAAAGTATTAATAAATTATTTTGTTTTAAAAGTATATTTATTAAAACAATACGAAATATTTGTTTGTATTTAATATATAGTTTGTTTATTGCAAATAAAAAAGGTTTAGTTTGAAAATGTTTTTTTTTCTTCAAATACACATATATGTACCCCAGGTCTAAACTATTTAAAATCAAGTTACAATTTTTTTGCCTACGTTTTCCGCTCTTTCAAATGGCAAACAGGAGTAAGTCCTGGCTTACTTAGTTTTGGATACATACATAAAAAAACTAAGTAAGTCAGGTCCTAATCCTGTTTACCATTTAAAAAAGTGAAAAACGTAGGAAAAAATTTGTAACGCTAATTTAAAAAAGTGTACTTTGGCTCAGGAATACAGATATGTATTTTTTAAGACCTTGCATGAACGTAACGTAAACAGAGCATAGGAAAGCGGTTGCTCCCCTAAACCATGTCCACGCACTTGCTCTGTGTAGGTCGCTAAAACAAAAAAAACTAATATATATATAAAAGGTTATCAGTAGTAAATTTTGGACATTAAAAAATAAAATTCCTATTATATATATAAAACATAAAATTTATTTTACAGAAAAGGTTATTACATATATATTAACATAATACGTATCGGTAATATAAAATAATTAGTAATTTACTATAAATTCAACTTTGACATTAAATAAATTTTGAATTGAAAATTCATAATAAAATTATTAAAGACTTTCTTGAACAATATTTAAATAATTTCGTATAAAAAATATTATAAGCTGCATTAATAAAAACTTTTCTAAACTATTTTTTACCTCTTTTTCCATATTTAATTGGTTTATGCTATTTCTTAGCCTTATTCTGTCCCCTACAATATTTTTTGTTAAAATATCAATTTCTTCATCTTTTAATATCTTTATTATTTCCATCTCGTTTATTTTATTTTCTGGAAAAAATATTTAAAATTATAGTTTTATAAGGTTTAATAAAAAAATATATATAATTTTAAGGAAAAGAATCAGTAAAATTTCGACCACCCTGTGTAAGACTTAATTTTCTATTTAAAAACAAACAAAATGTAAAAAGTTTATGTTTTTCATTAAAAATAAGAAAATTAGTATCGTTCCAGGAAAAAAACAAACACCGTGTGTATGTTTTCATTTAACTAATATTTTCTGTAAACAATTATATATTTAGACCCTGTATATTTAACCTAATAGTTTTTTTAGTTGGTTTAAAAAAAACATTTTTGGTAAACAATTATATATTTTCATCAAAGACTTGCTTACTTTTTTAAAATAAAAATTTATTTAACTTAAATAAATGAAAGTTTATGTAGGTAGACATGTTGGCAAGCCGCCCAACAAAAATGCTTTGCTTTTTTTAATTAGTTACTTAATCCTAAATAATTATTATTAATATTTATTAATATAATATATTGTTTTGTTTTACTGGTAGCAAGTTGCAAGTTAGATTGATACATGGAAGAATGCATTAATTAATATATACATGTGGCAATGCACCATTTTGTGTAAATACGGCAAACTGTTAAAAATTAAGTACTTACCCTCAAATATTGGCCACAAATGACCAAGATTGTTTTCTTCTAGCCACTTTTTCACTTCCATAATATTAAAAAAGATATTACATCATTAGTTATAAATTTTAATTATAATTATAATCTCCACACGTCTAAACACCACCAATATCAAAGACGAAAAGTTTCCGTACAGACAACCTTGGGAATCGTGTTTTGTTGCTTGGGGTGGGGTGATTTGGCAAAATTTGAGGAGTAAATACATATTTATTTGTAATAAATAAATCGTTATTTGGCTAAAATAAAATATTGTTTCAAAAATTATTTGTTAAATACAAATAATTTTTGTTTGATGCAACAGTTTAATAAGTCAAACAAATTTTAAAAAATAATCAAATAAGTTGATTTATTTTAAGAAAACAAAATTAGTTCAAACTAAATAATTATTATTTGTTTGAAATAAAATGCAGTTAAATAACTCATTTATTTGACATTTTAAAATTATTTTTTTCTGTGTACTCATGTTCCAGTGGATGACTTTAACTTTACTCATTTTGGTTTTTATTAAGTTTAGATTCTATTTGTGTTATTCCCTGAGGGAAGTGAGTATTAATTAAATCTGCGATAGTTTCTGGGAAATTTTTTACAAAATGTATAAATAGCTCTATAAATTTATCTCGGTGGGATATTATTGGGGAGGATGCAGACGATGGATTGTATGCATCTGCTCCTGTTGACATTATTTTTATTTTAATCGGGGTTTCTTGGATTCTCCCATTTGTATTGCAGTAACTATCTTCATTAAATTGGGAGGGGCGTTTTAATTGTGTTCTAGGTGTTTTATTGAGAATTTTAGTGAAAGTTAGGTTTTTGCGAAGAGGGAAGTCCTCCTCTGGAATTTCTTCTGTTAACGGGGGAAAGTCCTCCGTATATATGTTTCTAATTGCCTCTGTTTCCTTTAATGTTTTTGTTTGAGGGGTTACCTCCTTTATTTTCTTTGAGGCTTCAAAGAATGATAAGTTATAGATAGACATAATTTCTTTGATTTTTTTTTGCCGAATAAACTCTTTGCATATACGATTTTTGAATGCAGTGCCCTTCTCAGAGGAGGAGTGGGCCTCATTACAGAAAATACATTTTAAATGACAGTTGTCATGTTTTTCATTTTCATTTTTTCCTTCACCGCACCTATCACACCTATGTTTACTCTTACATTGTGAGATTGTATGACCATATCTTAAGCATCCAAAGCATTGAATGACTGGGTCGATATATTTTTCAGTAGGGAATACGCATAGAAAAAGTTCTACTTTTTGTGGAATGAACTTACCTCTAAAAGTAACCACCACCAGGGGAGTGTTAATCAGTAGGCCGCTGTCTTCCTTTGATTTTTTTTTTATTCTTCTTACATTAGTTATTTTGGAAATTTTACCTAGGGACTTAAGGTTGTTCCGTATGTCTTCTTCTGAAAACTCTGGATCAATACCTCGAATAAGTGCTTTTGTTGTTACTAAATGTCTCGGTATAAATGCTCTTAGGTTATATGTTGCTAAAAAGTCAGTATTTTTAATAAATTCGTTAGCTTTATCTAATGTTTTAAAAAATATGGCAACCCTATTTTTACCTTTTTTCATTACTCTATTGATTTCAAAATTTTTGTTGTTGCTTTGTGAAAACAATCTACCTATTTTTTGGTAGTGCAATTCTGAATTATTATTTGATTCTATATTTACTACAAACGGTCCGGTATCGTAAATTGTGTACAAAAGTATTTCAAGGTCATGTTTTTTATTATCATTTGTTTGTTTTACTTCCATTTTTTGCGGAATCAAAGTAACATCAGAATGAATAACCATTTTTTCATTAATATCGATTCTGTCCCCTTTATCAGAGATCCAGAACCCCCTATCTACTATTTCGTTAATTTCTCCTTTCAGAGTATCGTCACATTCAAGCTGGGAGAGAAATTCTCTATTTAAGAGGGAGGGAATTTGATTTAGTTGGGATAAGGTCATTAGACTTCTAACCGCTTCTTGGGTGCTCGGCGATCTAGTTATAATTTCATTTATTTTTTGAACATAGTCCAATGTTCCCCCCGGGTCCCCGGGAGGAATGTCGTGGCCACTCATGGCCACCGCTTGTAACCTAAGCTATATCTAACTATTTATGTAAATGCTGGATATATATAAGCATAAGCAAAAGGGATGGAGAAAATCAAGGATGACTTACTTGTAGTCGTCTTTTTCATTGACAAAAGAAACATTAACAGTAAGAAACAACTTCACTCTTCTATGGACGCCACACGAATCGACGTTGTTTTGACAAGTGCGATTTTTCCTCTAACATCAAATTTCTGTTGGTTTGAGGCTGGTATACGGTAAAGCAGTGCTGCCAACTCTCTAAAATATTTATCCCTAAAGCTAAGTCAAAACCCCCTAAAATCGCCACAATTACTTGAAAATCTCCCTAAACAATTAATATTATTTAAAAAATAATAATAAAAAATAATTAATAATAAAGTACTAAATAATATTCTGTACTTTAATAATTAATTATTAATAATCTTTAATATTCTTTATTCATAAATTGTTTATTACCTACATCAAATATAATTTCGTCTTCTGATTCTGATTTTTTAAATTGTACATGTTTACATTACATACACCTAACATTTTTTGCAAGATACGCCATTTCGTTGCAATGTGAATCTTACCATAATACACAGAGAAGACCATAATACTTCGTAACATTTCAATAGATTGGGTATTTCGCATATTCTTGACAAGATTATATAAGGAGAATGCGCCTTCGCCACTTGCGTTTGAAATAGGTTTGACAAAATTATGTTATCCCAGGTTCTATATTTTTAGACTTATATTTCTTTTATTTAAAAAAATAAATATCAATAGTAAAAAATCCCTAAAAATATAAAGCCCCTAAAAAAATCCCATCCCACTCATTTACCCCCTAAAGTTGGCAGCACTGCGCCAAAGAAGCATCGGGTTTTCGCAACGCGTGCGCCATCTGGTGTCAACATTATTGAAGTAATAGGTTTGTCAACAATAAATTAAAATACAAATTGCACATTATTTTTAAATAAATAAGTAGTTTTTTCACAAAGAAGAGGAAAGTAGAAGTTTTACTCAAATATTTTGTTCGCCAAGTTTGAATTGCACAGGTTAAGAGAGTACATTAATTGTCTTTTTGTGTTGCAGCCTGCAACTTGCAGGTAAAAATTGAAAAATCACTTGGTTTAGTACTTGATTTCGATTTATTAATTTGTATATGCTTAGTTACGTTATTGTGTGTATTGTGATCATTGTGAATTATTGTGTTTTTAATTGTAAAGGTAATTAAAGAACTAATTCGAAGTTGCATTTTTATGTTTTGCCAAAGGATCAAATTCAGTACGTATACCTATTTGGTTGTGCAGAATCAACTAATGATAGCTTTATCTAATATAATTTATATTTAAGTTTGGAAGTTTTTAAGAAATTACCACAAAACCTCGCACAAAACAATAACTATAAAAACATAACCTCAATCTTAAACATTTTTATATTTGAGTCCTCTAAAAATAACGCCGACAACTGCATTTAAACAATAATATATCTACGAATTCATGGCAACATAATATTATATAAAATTCATATTATACCCGTTATCGGTACTTTATTGTGCAACAAATCAATAGACGTTTATTTTCTCGATATTTTCCGCACTCATTTTAAAAAACACTCATTTAAAATATATGCTTTTGACAGTTGCTTAATAAAACTGAAGTTAAGTTACGATGATGATGGCCACGAGGTGGCGATACTAGCGATACTTCTTTAGCGTATAGTGGTCCAGTGGACCAGGTCCACATTTAGTCCAGTCACGTTGGTATTTTCCTGCCCAGTGAGCGGTACCAGGCTGAAAACTCGTATACACCTTTATTTTGTCGTTGTCTCAAAAATCAGTAAAACTATAGTTTTACCTATAGGTATGTCGCTTCGTTAGTTATTGCAGGTCAAAGGTCATAAAAATACGTTTTTCACGTTTATCTCGGTTCCTATGGCTTTAATGATGTCAATACCTATTACAAAAGTTGGAGATAATAAAATTCCTAACCACTTTTGTCTGAAACTTTTTTTCATAAAATGAACCGTTTTTGAGATAGAGCGCAAGGGGCGGGAAGCGCTATTGGTCGAAAAAATGGACATTGACCAATTTAATGTGCCCGCCCAATGGTGAATTTTTGCATACACGTTGTTGTTATGACTATAAATAATTGGTGAAAGTTTCCCATCGATTCGGCGATTGTGTGGGCCGTTACGGAGAGTCAAAGTTCGACCACCCCTTCACCAATATCTCGAAAACGGTCAACTTTTTGACAAATTGGTTTTTAGAAAAGTTTTTCGTCATTTAATTTCCTACAAATTTGGTCTTAGGTAAATTTCTCTACAATGAACCGTTATTGAGATATGGCGCAAATATTGAATAAAAAAAGGGGTATACTCGGAAATATTATTTAGGATAATTTAATTATTGTAAAATAAGGTACATCTATGTTTATTTTTAGAAAATGAAATTGACTTGGACAATGTTATGCTTTTGACAGAGGATCAAAGACTGCGTTCCGTACGTAGTCACGTAGTGGGACATTGAGGTGTGGAGCATAGAACCTTGGAATGACAAGGTTCTAAGTGCAGCGTCACTGTTAAATTAAAATGATCTATAGATTATTATTATTTTTATCTATAGATATCTATTGTATACAAATTTTATAATACAAAACTAAATATTGCAGATAAGGCGTTTTCGCTTAACAGGGCACCTGCACTTAGAACCTTGTCATTCCAAGGTAGGTAGCGTAATATCTAACCGTTTTATTTTTTTAATTTGTTATTTTTACTAAAAATAAATATATGTATCTATTTCTAGATGTTTTGTTTTTTTGTAAATACCTATCTTATTTCACATATCAAGTTTAAATACTGATTAAAACGACATTAGTGCAATTAGCTTCAATCATTTATTATATTTGAAGCAAAAATGAATTTATTTAAAACAAATTTTACCTACTTAAAGCAAGAAAAACCCTAAATTTAAATCAAATTAAATGTAAACTATTTTCAATAAAAGTATTCTTTATATTGAAGCTACAATATTTTTAAAACAAAATTAAAAAATACTTCAGATTAGTATTAGTAGTTATTAGAACAATCGGGGGTTATATTTGAAATAAGTATAAGAAATATTTGGAAATAAATTGTAGTTTTTTAAATAAGAATAGCTTAATCTTAAAACAATGTTAAGGCTATTGTCAAATTCAACACTAGCGTATTCTGAATATAAGTAAAATTTTTAAGAATAGGGCTATATTTGAATCAAATATTATGAGTTCTTGTGGAATAGTGAAACGAGTATATTCTTGATCAAACGCTACTATTCTTTAATATAGTGCAGATTTTTTTCCGTGTGGATTCCAAGACTCGGGTGCCACGACTGTGCTCTAAAAATATTTAAATTTAATTGCAGTTGAAGATTTTTTTTTACTTTTTATTGTGACAAAGGAAAAAATCATTAGGAGACGGATCCGGTAATCTTGCTGGCCAGCGAATTGTATCTTCATTTGATATTAATCTTTGGGAAAATATTGTCTTTAAATAATTAGTAATAACCCTGGAATTATGAGCATCTTGTTGAAACCAAATGTTATCAAGATTTTTCCCAATTGTGTTTCGAAGAAGCTCCAAATATTTCTGTCCAATTAAATTTTCTTCTATAAATATATACTATATATTATTATAAATACTATCCCAAACAATAATTTTTTCTGGATATTGCGTTCAAATTTATCACTAGTGAAAACGATATTTTCAAAAAAATGATCCATTAATGTGTCAAAAAATTACATTTGAAATTGGTCATTCTCAAATATTGGTGAACTTGATATTTATACAAAAATATTGCAACTGAATAATGACTGTGCTCTAAAAATATTTAAATTTAATTGCTCTTGAAGATTTTTTTTTTACTTTTTATTGTGACAAAGAAAAAAATTATTAGGAGACGGTTCCAGTAATCTTGCTGGCCAGCGAATTGTATCTTCATTTAATATTAATCTTTGGGGAAATATTGTCTTTAAATAATTAGTAATAACCATGGAATTATGAGTGTCTTGTTGAAACCACACGTTATCAAGATTTTTCCCAATTGTGTTTCAAAGAGGCTCCAAATATTTCTGTCCAGTTAAATTTTGTTCTATAAATATATAATATATATTATTATAAATACTATCCCAAAAAATAATTTTTTCTGGATATTGCGTTTAAATTCATCAGTAAACACGATATTTTCAAAAAAATTATCCATTACTGTTTCAAAAAATTCCATTTGAAATTTGTCATTCTCAAATATTGGTGAACTTGATATTTATACAAAAATATTGCAACTGAATAATGACTGTGCTCTAAAAATATTTAAATTTAATTGCTCTTGAAGATTTTTTTTTACATTTTATTGTGACAAAGGAAAAAATCATTAGGAGACGGATCCGGTAATCTTGCTGGCCAGCGAATTGTATCTTCATTTCATATTAATCTTTGAGGAAATATTGTCCTTAAATAATTAGTAATAACCCTGGAATTATGAGTGTCTTGTTGAAACCACACGTTATCAAGATTTTTCCCAATTGTGTTTTAAAGAGGCTCCAAATATTTCTGTTTAGTTAAATTTTGTTCTATAAATATATAATATATATTATTATAAATACTATCTCAAACAATAATTTTTTCTGGATATTGCGTTTAAATTCATCAGTAAACACGATATTTTCAAAAAAATTATCCATTACTGTGTCAAAAAATTCCATTTGAAATTTGTCATTCTCAAATATTGGTGAACTTGATATTTATACAAAAATATTGGAACTGAATAATGACTGTGCTCTAAAAATATTTAAATTTAATTGCTCTTGAAGATTTTTTTTTACAATTTATTGTGACAAAGAAAAAAATCATTAGGAGACGGATCCGGTAATCTTGCTAGCCAGCGAATTGTATCTTCATTTCATATTAATCTTTGAGGAAATATTGTCCTTAAATAATTAGTAATAACCCTGGAATTATGAGCATCTTGTTGAAACCACACGTTATCAAGATTTTTCCCAATTGTGTTTCGAAGAAGCTCCAAATATTTCTGTCCAGTTAAATTTTGTTCTATAAATATATAATATATATTATTATAAATACTATCCCAAACAATAATTTTTTCTGGATATTGCGTTTAAATTCATCAGTAAACACGATATTTTCAAAAAAAT